TTCCGATCTGTAGTGAGGAGTCGACTGTTAGAAGGGGCAGGTAGGTTTTTGTGTGTGTGTGTGTGTGTGTGTGTGTGTGTGGTGTTCGTACACATGAACATGGACATGTGCCACGCCACATTTTTGGAGGTCAGAGGACACCTATACATGAACATGGACATGTGCCACGCCACATTTTTGGAGGTCAGAGGACACCTTGAGGGAGTTAACGCTCTCCTTCTATCACAGGTCCTGGGGATCAATCGCAGCTCCATAGGGTTGGCAACTTTTTCCTGCTGAGCCCTCTTGCCAGCCCAGGAATTAGTTCTTAGTAAAGAGTAACCTGAGCATTCAACCCATGATGCCTCATCAAGTCCCTCACCACAGAGGATCCCTCACCACACAGGATCCCACACCACAGAGGATCCCACACCACACAGGATCCCACACCACAGAGGATCCCACACCATACAGGATCCCACACCACAGAGGATCCCACACCACACAGGATCCCACATCACAGAGGACCCTACATCGCACAGGATCCCACTTTACACAGCATCCCTCACCACACAAGATCCTAGATCACACCGTCTGCCCCCACAACAGTCACCCAGCCCCAAGTGGCAAGAGTGCCCAGAATGAAGAGCTCCACCTCTCTCCCACAAGTGCTTCCTTAACACTAGAGTGCCTGGAGGACTTGGTAACATCTGTCAGACCAAGAGGACCCTACATCGCACAGGATCCCACTTTACACAGCATCCCTCACCACACAAGATCCTAGATCACACCGTCTGCCCCCACAACAGTCACCCAGCCCCAAGTGGCAAGAGTGCCCAGAATGAAGAGCTCCACCTCTCTCCCACAAGTGCTTCCTTAACACTAGAGTGCCTGGAGGACTTGGTAACATCTGTCAGACCAACCTCAGAGGTTTGGGTTTGTTGGCAAGGTCCTGTGTGGCCTGAATGTCTACATCCTACCAAGGGAAAATGCAGCTTATCCCAGGTCAGAGCATGGGAGACAGGGGCCAAGGACAGAAGCTCTAAGAATCAGGAGCTGCAGCCTCTTCACTCCCCCTTCCCCTGCAGCAAAGCAGGGCACAGTAAAGTCCCTCACTCGCTAATTCACCAGCAGCCCCTGAGTGATTCTGATACCAGCATGCCCTGTGTTGCACACCGAGGCACAGGGGCTGTTATGGGGGATTGCTTGTTATGGCTGCACTTCTAATCCCATTCTAGGCTCCTGAGCTCAGTGATTACCACCAAAGGAGTCTGATCAATGTTCCATGGTTCCTTCCGTACCTAACAGTGTGCCTGAGGCATGGGGAATGCTCACTGTACTGGACAGCTTCAGTTGTCAACCTGATACACCTGGGTAGAGGGAGCCTCAACTGAGGAATTTTCTCCATCCTATTGGCCTGTGGCCATGTCTGTAGGGTATTTTCTTGATTTTTGAGGGATGTGGGAGGGCCCAGCCCACTGTGGGCAGTACTCCCTGGACAGGCGGTCCTGTGTTGTATAAGAAAGCAGGCTGAGCACAGGCCAGAGGAACAAGCCAGTAAGCAGCGTTCCTCCATGGTCTGTGCTCCAGGTTCCTGCCCTGAGCTCCTGCCTTGGCTTCCCTTGATGGTGGACTGAGCTGTACACCAAATAAACCCTTTCCTCCCCAAGTTGGTTTTGGTCAGTGTTTTCATCACAGCAACAGAAAGCTAACTAAGACACTCACACAAAAGAAACTGCCAGACTGCTAGTTCCTATAATTTCTATTTCTTTAACCATCTGTCTTGTAATAATTCCCATTTGTCTTTTTAATTTTTTTTGTATTTTTCAGGGGAGAGTATGAATGCAGTCCCCCACTACCACAAATTACGCAGTCAAGTTTCCTGAATTTGGGGAAATCGCAGGGACTAGCACATCCCAAGTGCAACAGACAAGCCGTCCTTGGAAAACCACCTTCCTGATCATGGTGTCTCCCCTGCCACATTTCAAACAAGTGTTCTCTCTCCTCCCTCTCTCTCTCTCCACCTCTCCCATTTTCAGGGTCTCATTGTAACCCAGGCTGGCCTTGACTGCTAATGATCCTCCTGTGTCAGGCTCCCTAGCACAAGGTTTACAGATCTGAAGCATCAAAGCTTCTCTCTCTGTTCACCCATCTCAGGCTTGAGCTGGAGCCCCGTAAGTCAGACAGCTGGGGAATCAGTGTGCCTGACTACTGCTGTTTCTATGGCCACGCCTCTGGCACATGCTCTCCTCCAGATGGAATCTTCCAGGTGTTTCCAGTGCCCTCTCCTGACATATTCTAGGACGTTCCTTTTATCCCTGCCCCAGACCAGCTGTGGAACGGCTGATCTCCATAACTCAAACAAGCCTGATAGCGTAGATTCAATCGCTCTGTTTAAGACAGGCCTTAATGAAGAGCAGGAGAGTCACAAGGTAAACGACCACCATGGAGACACTCCGTCTCACAGATCTCTCTTTGCTCGTGTGGAATCATCAGCCTGTTATTGATTTCGATTTATTGTTTTCAATGTCCACATCCTCTGCCCTGTGATGTTGCCGGCTGTTAGTGACCGCATCAGGCTTGCTGCCGTATAAACCAGACCCAGACGGCCTTAGAGACTTGACAACTGAAGCATCCTGGATGCACAGCCCAACCCATCCCAGCAAGCTGGAGAAGCACCGTCCCTGTCGCAGAGCCGGGACACTGACACGGACAAGGTTTTTTTACGTTCATACACGTATAGGATCTTGGTCATGTCCAACCCCACTCCCTCCTTCAGCCTCCCCACCACATCTCCCACATATCTCCTTCCAACTTCATTTCCTTTATATATTTATTTATAATCCACCAAATCCAATTAGTGTTGTCTAAATGCGCAATGTGTGAGCTCATCCACTGTGCCACAGCCTACCAATGACCGTCCCTTCCACAGAGAAAAGCGACCCTCCCTCCCTCCCTCCCTTAGCCGCCATCAATTGCCATTAACTCCTCGGGTGGGGTGATGGCTCTGGAATCCCTCCCCACCCCATGCTGAAATTTTTAACTCTCATAATAACCTGCAGGTCTTGTGTAGGAGGCCACAGCGGCTATGAGTTCATGTGTGTAACAGCCATGCCGAGCTCAGAGGCAGCATCACCCAGCTCTCCTCCCCATTTCTAGCCCTGACATTCCCCCCCCTCCAGGCATTCCCCAGGCCATGTGAGAGTTGAAATCTTGAAAAGTGAAGAGGGTTCACTCTTCAGAAGAGAGTGCTATGGGAGTTAATGTTTGCACACAGCGGAAATTCACCTGGTACATGTACAACTCAACAATTCTTAATATATTTACAGTTGTGCAGCTATCAGCACTATCTAAATTTAGGGCACTTCATCATCCCAAAAAGAGACCTCACACCTATTTTCTACTACCTACCCATACCCTGAGTCAGCCTCAATCCACTTCTGGTTTATTCATAGACTAGCCCTTTCTGAGAAGCCCACATACATGTGGTCATACAGTGTTTTGTCTTCTGTGCCTGGCTTTGGTCTAGTAAGATGTCTGAGGCTTGTCCAGGCCCTATGTCTTTTGCATTTGGCTTTGTAAGTTTAGCCAGATGCTCGAGGCTTGCCCAGGCCCTAATGCACCCCTCTCCACCAAACAGTCCTCATGCCGTGTGCGTCACAGTTTGGCCTCTTTCTTTTGATAAGAGGGCTCGTTTTCCTTTTTCTTTGTAACAGAGTCCTCAAAATAGAAATTCTAGGTCATATGGTAAATCTGTGTTTACCATTTTAAAGAAATGCCAAACTGTTTTCCAACATGCCTATGGCATATTGCAATTCTTCTAGAAGTTTCCGAAGCATCTAACTTCTCATTTGCTTCTGCCTATCTTGCGCACCAGAGCTATGCATGGCTCATTCCTAATGTTGAAATATGTGTTTCCAAGCTTGTAGGACATACACGAAAATACACTCAGGGGAAGGGAATGTGGTGGTGGGGGCGAGTCTAAGAAGAGTTGGAGGGTGGAGGGAGGTGGATATGATCAACATATGATGCGTGCATGTATGAAATTCCCAAAGAATCAATAAAAATATTATATTTTTTAAAATACACCCAATATTTATTAAGGACCTGCTCTGTTCTATGTAATACCCTTTACATGTGTTACTGTTAACCTTGGCTGGGAATGCAGCTCAGTGCTGGAGCACTTGCTGGGCTTATGATGCCCTGAGTTTGAACTGCCAAACAGAAGAAAGAAAAGAAAGAAGAGGGAGTTGGAGGGAGGCGCCTGTTGTTAACAAAGCAAGATCTTTGCTGAAGAGATAGCTCAGCAGCTAGGGGTGAGCTCTTCTCCAGGGGACTCACCTGTGCCCAACACACCAAGATCGCACTCACAGTTTACAAATAAAGCAATAAAGCTTAGAAAGGCTAAAATTTTACCATGGAATCACAAAAAGATGATGCAAAAAAGATAATGCAAGAGTCATTAGAGGCAAGAGGAGACTCATTGAACTGGAACTCATTATAATTTTGGTCACACCTTCCCTAAGGGCATCAGAAGAGGACCAGGTCAACAATAAACCAGCTGCTTCTAGACTCTACATGTTCCTTTGAAGACCCACACTGACATTGTACAGAACATGTTCACCTTGGCATTTCATCTTCAAACGTCAAATCTCACTGTTGTAGTTTTGATCAGGATTTAACCAGCTAAGCATTCATGACAATCAGAGCTCACATGGAACATCCTGTAGATCAATGAAAGTGTTGAATACTTTTTATTAACTGTACGGCATCGTTTGCTACCATCTAAAGACATAAATCCCAACAACTGCTCATGTGTGCGTGTTCAGAAACATTTATCCTAGGTTCTGGGGTCCCGAGGAGAACGCCAGTGCAGTCGGTGTTCCATGAGGAAGGCAGCTGGCAGAATGTGGCCCAAGGCAGGAGTCAACAATCCCAGCCCACCATCCCCCTTCAGCTCCCTGCCCTCTTGAGCCACAGCCCACCACTGTCCTGGCAGCCCACTGTGCTGCACCTGAGCTGTCTTCTATGCTCAGGAAGGCTGCCCTGTTCTCCAAGGCGCAGTCCGTCTCTACCCTGTAGTCCTAGCACTGTTGTAGAAGACTCACCATTTCCCTTCTTCGTCATTAATTACCCTGCTTAGCAAGAATGGTTTACTAGTGAACACTTCATTTTAGAATCTCTAATAACACACATCCTCGCCTTCCATCCAGCGATGTCAACATTCCTGGGAGACGGTCAGAAACACAGAATTCAGGATGAGCTGACAGCTCATCAGAAGCTGTGTTGGGATCTGCCCAGCTGAGTGGCACCAGGTCCTTAGACTCCCAAATCTCCCTAAACTGGAGCCTCATTTTCCCAGCTGTACATCTACACTATCAGGAGGAACAGCCAGGGATGTCACTGGCCGGAAAGCGCTTCCTGTCTCCTCCTCGCAAGCAGTGCTACCCTCCATCTCCCAGTCAGTCCCTTTTAAGCATCAAAAATTTTTGACTGTCAACCAGTGAGGAAGCGCGAGCCACTGTCCACACTTACCTGCTTTCTCTGAATCCTGGTGTCACACAGCCATGTCCTGCTTATCCCAGGCTTGCTGACACAGCTTGTGTGGCCCAATGAAATGCAAGCAAAGTGCTAAGAGTCGTATCGAAGCAGAAGCTTCCGGTCAGTCATCCTCCTCCTCCCCTGCGCCTCCCTGTGAACCCACCCTTCTCCCTCTCAATCCACAAGCCTGGTAAGGATCCAGACAGATGCAAGAGGCCCTGTTACAGGAGGCAGATGAGACAACACGGAACAGAACCCAAGGCAGCCTGGGCAAGACTGGCGGGCTTGGGGCTGAAAGCCACAGTGAGTCGATGTCAAGCCTTTCCTCTCCTTAAGTTAATGACCTCAAGTATTTGTTATAGTAATACAAATACAGCAACACAGCACTGACACCTCGGTGTAACGGACAGATAAGAACTCTAATGGGAAACCAATATTCACCAACCTTTAGTGAGTCAAATTCTCCCATGTTTGCATCATCCATTAGGCACTTACTGTTTACCACGTGCATTTTGCCTTCTTCCTCATAATGACCGCAGACTCGTTGACATGACCAAGCAGCTGTGCCCTGGTCTCGGTGCCCGGGGGCAAGAGCCGCCAGTGTAAGAAAAATCAGTGAAATGGATGTTCATATAGCGAGAGACAATCAGGCCCTGATATCCTGGGCTCTGCCTGCTCCACACTCACAGCACCACCTCCGGCATCTGCCGACACACGTCCAGCAATGAGAAAGCAGGGGAAAGCACAGCAGGCGGCCTCCGTGCTTCAGCCCTTATTCTGTCCACGGCGTCTTTTTTACACGGTCTCTTCTGTGCTCTTTAAAGTGGCTTCACTGTTTAGCTTGGCCATCAAGCAATTCTGAGGTACTGTCTCATGTTTTTAAGACAAGACTGTGATGTGCCTCATGGATGATATACCTGATTCAATAAGCTTCCTCCAGGCATGAGTGATTCAGAGCTATTGACCACACGTTCACTATTAATGAATCAGTGCACGCTTAATAAGGTGTCTTTATCAGCACAAATGAAACAAGGTTACACACTGACGAGTTAACGGAGACTTGACCAGGTGTCTATGGGAACCTAACCCATTGGAACAATGACTCAGTGTTTGCTAACCCAGCATTCTCCACGGTGACTGTATAGAACTGAGCTATCATGAATCACCACAAGCATCTGAATAACAAAACCACATGACTGAGCTCTCCCATTACAACCACGCTCACATCCCCGGAAGCATACAAAGCCCATATCCAGAAAGGCCAACCAGTGAGGAGGAGCACAGGGGAGCACGTGCCACAATGCGGCATCCAGTGCGTGTGAGCAGAGTGAGCAGTGAAGGAACTGCATCAGCAACACTAAGAAAGTCACTCCTTCGTCCTCTGAGTGTCCATAAGGTGTAGGAAGGCATGCCTAGCCACAGACCAAGTTTATTATGGTCTAAA